CTCCTCTCCCTTTGTTACAATAAAGCATGATGCCCCATTTTCAACGGTTTGGGTCTGTTTGACTGTCACTGCTCTCAGTATTGTCGAAGCGAACGAACAGGAATCAAAGGATCCCGTGCCTCGGCGAACGCCGCGAACGCCCTGCATTGGAGAAAGTGGTCGTAAAAGCATGAATGCTGAAACATTTGCCCTTCTAAGATGGAGAGTAGAGGGAGGCACCCCTGGATCAATTTTGTTCGACACCTCTTTTTCGCCTAAGCAAAACAGTTTCGGTACACTTTTTGTTTTGTACGTGTCATCTTGCGACTTGCACTCCTCCCAGGTCACTGGCATTTTCCATCAGTGACCTGCAGTCCAGAAAAAGGGTGAGCCTTTCGGCCCAAGCTGCTTATGGTGGCGTGCGGAGTGCGCATACCTTGCACCCTCTCACCTCCAACATGCTTCCTACCACTCCGCCACATCGCGGATCGGCCCACCTCATCCTCATACAAGTAGGTGGTCTCATCACAGGGGCATTGCCCGGAGTCGATGTTTGGCAGGCCTGGCAAAGTGCCTTCGCCTGAGTCACGTTGGCGTTCCTGAGTCCTCGACAGTTCGGCCGCCGGTGAAGGCACTTCCCGGACCCAGCCAGATCACATGCTCCTGGAGCTGTCGCCTCCGCCTTCTCGTCGTGATCTGGAGTGCTGCACCTCCTGCCGCTCTCGCTGTGCTTAAGGCTGACTTCCTTGACGAGGTTGATCAGCAGCCAGCCAAGCGTCCGATTCTCGTCCATGTCCTTGACCACGGCCATCACCATCCCTGCTGATAGATGTCGACGACGCCCTTCCCGCACGGAAGCGCAATGATTTTGCAATGTCTTTTGTTATGTGTTCTGAAGTTCCTGCCCTAGCACAAAGCGTCTTGCATGGAAACGCAACGATTAGCAATGATGTTAACCTCCTTGTGGTCCCGTGACATCTCTTTGGACCAGGCTCTGGTTTTCTATTTCCTTCTTTCTGTCTTTCTTTCTTTCTTTCCTCCCCGCTTGTCTGCTCTGATCGGCGTTTTGCTTGATCGGTGTTTTGTTTGCCGCTGCTGCCTTGTCTTCTCCCCAACTAAACACGACATCGCCACGACTTCCATACATTCGAGTCCCAATGGAAACGCTTCAACAATAAACAATCGCCACGACTTCAACATTTCATTGCAGCAAGCATTCATTTGAGCAGTCTCAGAAAATAGTCCAAGGGGGGTGCACATTCTGCATCACCTCATGATTAATATTAACCACAGTACTCACAACCCACAAATCTCATGGCAGGATTAATAGAAATAGTTGTTTTACAGAATCATGGCCAGAATTATGATCAGAGACTCAGTGGTCACCTGGATTAATTTCACTAAGGCATGGTACGTGTTACATAGACAGGAGATGGCAGGAGAGCGTTGAAAGGACGCTTGTTTGAGAAAGAATTGGGAAAGATAACTTCACACAAACATCTTTTTTGCTTTGCCTTGCCTGCAAGTTTTCTAAAATGCTCAGAATGTCATAGGGGACACAAAGTTCCAACTGAATTTACACAAAGGTATGGGTCGAAGAAGGGAAGCAGCGATGAGTTATTCCTGTCTTTGAAGGGAAGCTCCACATTTTTGAGGATCCACGCGATGATCTCTCCTTCTGCGGGTCCGACCTTGGTGAGGGATACTCTGTCACTGAATGGATTCCATGGAAAGCACTGGGTTTGCCTCCACCTCGCAAGTTGCAAAGCTCTTGACTTTCTTTCTCCCAATGACTGTTCGGACTCCAATCTTACCACACAAAGTTAAGAGCAGTGCATTTTTCCATTCCTGTCGATACCAGCAGTAGTCCATCTTGTTGCTCGGACCTCAACCACATGGCTCAAAATCTTACACTGCCCAGGTGCTAAAAGGAATCTCCTGTTGAACGCCTCTTTCATTTTAACGTTAACTCTTTTGTCTGGCATGGGCATGGACTTCTTCAGAAAGGTCAAAATCAAGCACCCAAACTGGACTTTTGAGGCCGTCTCTGCAAGCTAGAATCAGCCAAGGAGCCAGTCCAAGTGAAGGCTTTTCGACTGAACTTCGTGGCCGTTGCTGACTGCGGTCAAGTAAAAAAAGGTGTGCCGAGCCAAGGAAACGGAAACGCACCCCCACTTTGTCTGCGATTTCTGATTTGCATCAGCTGACGATCAGATCTATAAGACCCGCTCCTTGAAAACTCTCGCTTTGTGAGGCCAGGCTGCAAGTTCTGAACTTGAGAGGGGCACCCAGGCCGAAACCTAAATTAAACTAAACTATATTACTTGTTGTGCAAACTTGAGGTTTGCCAAACTTTTTCTGCTGCAAGCGCGCACGTGGGTGTGCACGGCGTAGTGGCCGCACGCTCACCCGACTGTCGCTTCTGCGTGCAGCGCCGTTGCGTGCGTGTTTTGACAAATTTATTGTGTGCGCAGCACCGTTAGGCGCCAATTTTGGACTTTGGCGAGTTTGGCCAAGCACACGCGCGCAGTTGCTAAGCAGTTGCTAAGTAAGCTTTCGCTTGGCGTGTGTTTATACTAAAGAACACATCTGCACAGCAAGAGGACGCCGTACACCTGAGGAGGCACCATCTAACAAATAGGCTTGTCAGTGCATGCTGATATCGTGGGCAACTTCAGGATACACCTGCGGTGTTCAATGTGTGAAGGACTACAGTAAATGTATCTAAATGTTGAAAGGCTGTTCCAGGTTTGGTTGAATTCTGAACTGCATGACCTGCTGTTGCGGCTACATATCTGCACCTGGCTTCAACTAGTGAGCGCTCTTTCAAACGTATACATGCCTTTTCGGAACTATACTTTGTGCAAACAGCTGCACTGATCAGATGAGATATTGGAAGCGATTTTGCATGGCTCGAGGGACCAACATGGCAGCTGGATCCTCGTGCAATCAAATCAAACTTGTTTGCGCAACAGAAGTCTGTATCTTTATGGGTAGACAAACCGGGTACCGATGGTGGTGACCTTTCTTTTGCCACTGCATGAAAGCGAAGCACGCAGAATTCTTTGGCATACATAATGTTGTTCCTTCTACGCTCCTTTTTTGGTTTTGATTGCAAAGAAGACTGCACAAAAACTTCACTTATCTTAAGACTTGAGGTAAGTCCGGTACTTTTGTTCCTTGTGTGACTTGTCAGAGTTGTCATGTTCAAGTACCTTTCAAACGTTCAAACATATATGAAATCCAAATGTTGTTTTGATGACTGTGAACACCACTGGTCGGAGTGAGTTGAAGACTTAATCTAATCTATCATCTATATATCAGCGGCGTGATGTCAAGAATTTCAATGGGAATTGCATGTCAAGCAACCAATGACATCTTCTACACACCCTTGGCGATGCCTCTGCTTTGGCCTTTCTTTCCTCTCCTGGAGGGATAGCTCCTGTGCTATTTTGACAGAGCAGCTTTGAAAAGCTGAAATTGACGTTCTCCTCCACCGCTCAAGCTATCACGCTTTAAATCTCTGCGGAGGAGCGACGGAACCTGGCTGCGTCAATTCGTAGACTCCAAAGGCTCACGAGAAGCGACAACAAACCTGCCAAATCTTGCCAAGGCATCGTGTCAAGACACCTCAAGATCCAAACTTCCAAACTCCATGCTTATGCTCAAAGCCTGGAATACAAAAATGTCTGAAAGTTTTGACAAGTCAGTTTGCCTCTTTCCTCCAATCCCCTTTTCACGCCCCGCTGCCATGCACCCAACATGCAGGAGCGACTGCGGCAAGCTGTGGCTCCCATCTGCTTTTATTGTAATAAGCCGTCTCAGCCTTAGCGGCTGAGCAAGGCAAACATTGAACTGTGGTGGGATCACAAATATTCATGCAAAGTCTGAATCAGACTGGGGAAGCAAGGGCTGTCAGTGCATGTTGATCATGCAAACTTGTTGCACATTAGTTGCACCCCTATGAACAATCCAACAGAAGTTAAGCCTTCAAAAAGACACATGGTCCTACTTCTGGACTGTGTGCTGAGGCAAATGTTTGATTGTTTGCCAACTTGTTGACAAACAATCTGCCATGTTCGTAGCAATAAGCTAGAAAGTAGTAGCACAATAGAAACATGCAACTTGTTTTGCCAATTTGCATATGCTGGGCATATACTGTATATATATATATACATACTACTATATGCATATATATAATATTATATACAGTGTATATATATATGCTGAGAATACTTGTATAAAGTGTTCAAGTTGAGAAAAAAATAGACAATTGAGACTTCATGCGGCAACTTATCGACCTGAAAATGGAAACTAAAGCCAGCGTCCAGCTTGGACGCTGCCGATCTGAACTGCCAACCTATGGTGCTTCAACAGCACCCACCTGTTCCAACACGCAACCCCCTACGAGCACGGGCAATGGAAAGGAAACAAAAGTAAACAGAAACTTGGAGACTAAAACAGGTTGCAATCAAACTAAGGGAGTTGATGTCCCGACCAGACCAGCATGGCCGGTGCCGCGCAAAGACCTGTGAGTGTTTCCCTGTTTCGTTCAAGGCCCACTATAGTCACTATAGAGTCAGAGTCGATTCTCCATCTTTCTTCCTTGCCTGCGAAGTGGGGGCTCTAGACTCTAGCCACAAACTTTGGAAGACGGCACAATACAACCTGACCTTGATGTGAAACTCCACTTCCGGAGAAGGGGATGGACTCACAAATGGGTGAACGTGTGTGTGTGTGTGATTGTGTGTGTGATCACCTAAATATATAACTGTTTGCCGTTTCTGAAAACCTTGGAGTGTTCAGTTGAAAGCAAGTCAAACAGCAAAGAACATGCTGCTGCGACTAGAATCATATGCAGTCCAGTGCTTGCTTTTTAGACCTGTCGGTTTGAGGTGCTTTCATTCCATGCTTGAATCGAGTTGAACACTTTTGAAAAAGTGAGATTCTGACAACGCCCATTGGTGGCTTCAGCTGCCTCCATTGGTACAAGCAGTCCAAAGAATGATTGGTCAAATGTTGTCCAATTCTGTGTTCTCGAAGAAGCCTGACTGTCTCCCCTTATCAAGCACAGGGACTGGAGGTCATTTCTTGCCAGTGCCCGCCTGGTGATCTGGGCAACGGTCATGGTTGGTTGAAAGTCCAACGTCAAGATTGGTACCTTTGGCATCTCCTCAAAGCATTTGCATCCTTTGCATCACTCATCAAACAGCCCTGATCAGGTAAGTGTGGGAGCTCACACACTGGCCAACACATGAACTCTATAGTCTATTACGAACGCCGTCCCTATTGGCATGAATTGACACACATCAACAGATGCTGAATTCCTAGGTCCTAGGGAAGCGTAGACATGTTCAAAGACTGGAACAACGACCGCCGGCCCTTCGGTCCAACCGCGCAGTGCGGATCAAGCCCCAAAGTGTCACCTGAGGACAAAAGTAGCTGGAGAAGGATCTTCAAAAGACATGTTGCTGTCGTGATCAATCATGCTCAACATGTTGACTGCTTAAGCTTCTCTGACTTGACTAGACTGGATGTCGGAATACAAGTTTGCCCTGCAACGCACACAACGCAACTCTTGCAGGCACAACTCCGCAATCTCAGTTGGCCAGCCGCAGCAACGCTCGTCATGCTACCGTAGGTCATGTCACCGCACAAACGTCCAAAAACGCCTCCTGGCATCCGTTTTGGCGTAGCAAAAAGCAACTGTCCTCACTCTTTAATCGAATAATACCTTCCAGAAATGTCAGACAATGTTCCAAGCTGTCTGGCAACTCTACCCACAGAAGACAGGAAGAATGCAAAAGCTACCCTCGGAACTGTTGGTAGCAAACTGGGCGGAGCTGGCTCGTCTGTACAACCACGGGAACCTTTGGGATATCGCCCTTTGCCATGGCCTCAGCGCTGAAGAAATGTAGGGTCAATTGTGAGCTTCAGAAGTCCTATAGGAAGGTTCATATCATTCCAACAATCTTCGCCTGAGAGTTTAAAGCATGGGGTGTTGATCCTACGTAGTATTGGAACATCGCTGTCATCACCGTTTCATCTGTGATAGACACGAGCAGAACCCATGTGATTTTAGTGGAGTCTGCCATGACAAACCAGAAATCTGACCCACCAAGACCAAACAAATCCAGAAATCCAACACACAGAGACTTCTCGTTCTCAGACCAGCAAACACTTCCAGACCAACAAAGACTTCTCAGGACTTCTCAGTCGTCAAGAACACTTGCACTGCTAGTCAGAAGGTCCACAACAAGCACGAGAATGGATTGCATGCATGCAGCAAGCTATCGTGCTTGGCTATCTTGACTTCCGGCTCAAAAGTCTAGCTGCGAAGGTTCAAGCGCCAATATTCACATGATGCATCCATATAGAATATAGCGCGTCTATCCGTCTGTCCAGCAAGCTGCCCTTGAAAACTTTCTCAGCAAAAGTGATTCGGCGGCAAAAGACCAAGTAAAATCAAAAAGCAGACATCGAACTTCCTGCCTAGAGGAAACATTCATCATGGCCACCATTGGACAATCAACCAGAGTATATGTGACCCTATTTTGGCAGCGGCCACTTGCCCTAGGCAGCAAAAGGGCACAAATATCAAACAGGCTGCCGCATGCTTAGGGATTTAGACGAGCTGTTCAACAAGGGTTGAGATCCAAGATAGGTAGACACAAAATAAGGGATATGGAAGGAGATGAGATTAAATTAGATTGTTCAAGGACAAACAAAACCATGCAAAATGTGGGAAAATTCATCTGCATCATCGCTTCCAACCAACTGCAAAACTACAAGGAACCGACCAACCAGCAAAGTCAACTACACATGGGTTCATAAGAACCAGCCATTGCGCATGCTCAATTGGACCCATCACGCAAGTGTTGTGCTCGTGTGGTTATGCAGCTTATGAACATGGACATTCCAGGAAAGAGCAATAGCCAGTATGAGAATATGGGAAGATTGAATCTTAGCAGCTACGCAAGCCCCAAGCCAAAACTGTGCCAGTGGCATTGGCGCTTTTAGTTGGGTCACGACAATGCGAGACTGGTGTGCATCGAAGAATACACTCATGTCACGCAATTCAGTTACTTTCAATTTCATTGTTGTCATACATACGTTATGTTATATATATATAAAGACTCCCTGCTCTCCACTCTTTTTTGACCGCAATGCAAGACCTATAAGTGGTCATAAGAAATGAAATTACGCAACTGCAGAAACACTTTGAGGCCCCCTGCCTCGGAACCCCCCCATCTTTCCCCCGCCTAACTGGGGTGGAAGAGAGCCAAGGGTCACAGGGTGGTCCCAGGCCCCACCTAGCCGGGGAACGTCTGGGCCACCACCCTTTCAGCTTCGTTGTTTCTCTTCTTTTCCGCCGGTGGTCCAAATTCGAAGAAAAAGAATGAGCTACTTGTGGTGTCTTTTCTTGCCATTTTTTGGCTTCCTTCCTGGGCGGGTGGCTGCGGGCCTTTGAGCCCAAACACCACACAAAAACGAGTTCACGAACGGTCGTCTTAATATCCGGGGCCGGAAGTACAAAGACTCCCTGCTCTCCACTCTTTTTTGACCGCAATGCAAGACCCAAGTTGTCATAAGAAATGAAATTACGCAACTGCAGAAACACTTTGAGGCCCCCTGCCTCGGACCCCTCCCATCTTTCCCCCGCCAAGGCTCACAGGGTGGTCCCAGGCCCCGCCTAGCCGGGGAACGTCTGGGCCACCACCCTTTCAATTTCGTTGTTTCTCTTCTTTTCCGCCGGCGGTCCAAATTCGAAGAAAAGGAATGAGCTACTTGCGGTGTCTTTTCTTGCCATTTTTTGGCTTCCTTCCACGTCCCCCTGGCCTCCCCTTTTGGGGAAGCTCAAGGGTTTGGAGCGGTGACATTAGAGACTTGGTATATTGTCGGGCATATGCTTTGGCTGGTGCGTTAAAAGTCAACTTGAGTTCAGCTAATACTGCTAAGCCTTCATTGATATAGATCCGGGCCGTCTTTGACGAGGCCCACCTCCCCTGAACTAGGAGGCGATCTAGTGATCCACGTCGTCCGAAGTACATGGTGGCACCTCCTCTTCGAAGGCTGTAGGAGCGGAAGTCGTGGCCCCCAAGCTGACATGTTTCTAGTGCATCATTAAAAGTCTTCCTCCAACTGTGTGGTGCGCCGCAAAGTAACGAAGGCGTACCCGGTGTGTGGAGCCATTGCCACAGTCTACGAAGCGTCTCCTCTTCTCTGATCCTTACGCTTTCACTTGCTCCGACCCTCTTTCCTCCTTTTGTCATTCCGAGTGAAATGACAGCGGGCGACCTTGGTCCCACTTGAGTGATGTGGTTTTTTCGGATGCCCAGAAGCTCCCCGGTGCGTAGGAGCCCATGAAAAGCAAGGAGTAAGGAGAGTCCGAAGACTCCGTTGCCAGAGAAAAGTGAATAACCGGCCAGGACATGTAGTGCTTCCACAGGCAATGGTGGAGCCCGGTCAGGTATCTCATTGGTCTGCCAGGTTCTCAACAACCTCAGGCGCTAGGTAAATGTCCTCTTATGGCTGGCTGCTGATCTTGCACCGAAGCGATCGTATCGCAGGCAAGGGCTCTCCCCTCACCAGTTTCCGAGAGGAACTCTGAGAGGAGGTAGTCATGGCCAGCGGCGTCTCGCGGGAAAAGTCGTCCTTCATCTTTGAGGAAACTCTTGTATTTGTCTAACGCTTTGCTATATCGATCTCTAGTCTTGCTCTGTGCCGTAAGGTTGCGAAGTGGGCCTAAATTTCTTCTCTGCGCCTGTCTTGCTGCTTTACTTCTACCTTCGAGATGCGCTGTCTGTCTTCTCACCATTTTTTGCGAACTGGCCGCCTAGACGGCCGATCTGCAGGGTTTTGAGAAGTATGGACATACGCCCATACTCCATGGTTTCCCGAAGCTAGAAGTAGAGCATCTATGCGACAAAGCGTCCTTCTCATCTTCCTGCTGCTGCTTCGTCCACGCGACAGAGAATGTAGGCACACGAGA